CACTGCCCCCTGCTGACCGGAGTTGTGGAGTGGAGGAACGATGCTCCTGGATACCTGCAAAAATCCTGGAGGCAGAGGGTGAGAGGCAACTGGCAGGATGGGACTCGCTGTGGTCAGCTGGGCCGGCAAGGACACACTGGTGTGGAACGAGATGTCGAAGGATACAGAAGGGAAAGCGGAACTGGAATCTCTAGTTTTCAGGGTGTGACCTCTGGTGATATTTTCCCTTTGTCTGGACTTCAATGTCTGTCAGTAAAGTGAGAATGGTGGTGGTTTTGTTCTTAACAAAATTCATATGTGGGAACAACTTTATCAGCAGAGGACTCTTTAAGTGAAATGCGGTATATTCAGACAACGAAATGCTTGCGATTCAGCACAGGCTGGTCCTTGATTTTCTGTATCCTTAATTTTTCTGCCTCTGCCTGCCATATGCTGTGATTATATATGAGCCATAACACCTAGCCACTGTACAGCTAAAAAATGAGATATAGAGCCGGGCGATGGTGGCGCCTGCCTTTAATCCCACCACTTGGGAGGCAGAGGCAGGCGGAACTATGTGAGTTCGAGGCCAGCCTGGTCTCCAGAGCAAGTGCCAGGACAAACTCCAAAACTACACAGAGAAACTGTCTCAAAAAAAAAAAGAAAGAAAGAAAGAAAGAAAGAAAGAAAGGAAGAAAGAAAGAAAAGAAAAAAGAAAGAAAAATGCTATCTAGGCAGCTTTTCTTAAAAGGAGGAGGAAAAGGAAGAAACAAAAAAGATTAACAACACTCTGGAGGCAAAGATAGGCAGGTCTTTGTGAGTTCTAGACCATCATGGTCTACATAGTGAGTTCCAGGATAGTCAGGGCTACATAGAGAGACTGGGTCTCAGGAGGGAACACAAGCAGATTAAGACTTGAGATGTGAGTCAGTACAAAGAGCTTGTTTAGTATGTACTAGAAACGGGGCTGGAGCCATGCAGAGTGGCTCACACCTGTAATCCTAGCACTCAGGAGACTGAGGCAAGAAGGGAGCAAGTTCAAAACAGTCTCAAAACAGTAAACAAACACCAGGCAGTGCTGGCGAATATCTTTAATCCCAGCACTAGGGAGACAGAGGCAGGTGGATTCAAGGCCAGCCAGCTTAGACTACAGAACAAGTTCTAGGACAGCCAGAGCTACACAGAAAAACTGTCTCAAAAAGCCAGAGACAAAACAAAACAAAAAACAGGAACAGTGTTCAGATGGAATGTTGGGATCAGCAAATCCATGGAGACGAAGGGAAGATGAGAGAATGGCTGCTTGGGATCAGAAGTGATTTAGTGATTGGGTGGTGGTGGCACAGACCTTTAATCCCAGCACTCGGAAGGCAGAGGCAGGTGGATCTCTGTGAATTTCAGGCCAGCCTGGTCTACAAGAGCTAGTTCTAGGACAGGCTCCAAAAAAACTACAGAGAGGGCTGGAGAGATGGCTCAGTAGTTAAGAGCATTGCCTGCTCTTCCAAAGGTCCTGAGTTCAATTCCCAGCAACTACATGGTGGCTCACAACTATCTGTAATGGGGTCTGGTGCTCTCTTCTGCAAGCATACACACAGAATACTGTACACATAATAAATAAATAAATATTAAAAAGAAACCTATTTTAAAAAAAAGCTACAGAGAAAACTGGTCTCGAAAAACACCAAAAACAAAACAAACAAACAAAAAAAGTGACTTAAAAGGAGCAGAAGGAATCCTTTTGGAGGTGACAATAGTTGTACAACTCTATCAACTTTGCTATAATGAAACTGAAATGAGTCGTAGTACTTACAGTGAATGATATCTAAATTATAACCTCAATAAATCTCCTGTTTAAAAATACCTAGTGGGGGTGGTGGAGAGACTGATCAGAACTTCAGAGTACTGGTTGCTCTTCTAAGGGACCTACATTCTACTTTCAGCACCCATATGGAGCTAATAATTGTAAGACTCAAATTCGGGAGAATCCGATGCCCTCTTCTGGCTTCTATGAGCACTACATGCATGTTATGTACATGTGTGCTTGCAGGCAACATGCACGCCTTTAATCTCAGCACTTGGGAGGTAAAGGCAGGTGATTCTCTGTGAGTTCAAGGCCAGTCTGGTCTACAGAGCTAGTTCCAGGACAGCTATGGCTACACAGAGAAACCCTGTCTTGATAAACCAAAAACCAAACAAATGACTGGAGTTCCTACTACGCACTTAATCAACTGGGTATCCCAGCACAGTCCTATAACCCCAGCAACGGAAGCGCACAAACAGGAGGATGCCTGGGGCTTGATGGATTCTAGGCTGCCTAAGAAAACATAACTCCAGATTCAGGGAGAAGTACTGCCTCAAAGGAATGGATAAAGAAAGAGGACATCGGATGCCCTGTTCTGACTTCTGTGTACATAGACATGTGTACTCCTGTGGTACCTAGGGCCTTATGCTTTATAAAAGGTGCTCTATCATTAAAAGAATCTCCCAATCCCTTGACATTTTATTTATACTCAAGATACAGCATCCCTCCTTCTTTCTCTTTAATACACATGCACTTTTCACTTTTCTTTCTCTTTTCTTTCTTTCTTTCTTTCTCCCTTTCTTTCTTTCTTTCTTTTTTTTTTTTTTTTTTTTGAGATAGAACTAGCCTCATTTTCACTCTGTAGCCAAAGATTATTCTGAACTCTGGCCTCTGCCACTCAAGTGCTGAGATTATAGGCATGTGCCAAGCAGGTGTTACTATATTAGTTCCGAAATAAATTAAGCTTGAGATGTTGACTCTGAAAAGTGTTCATATTGAGGTAAATGAAACCGTTTGCGGCTGAGTTTCTTCCTCTGAGATGAGCGGGGAACCCAAACCATGCCTGTGGCTCTCATTCTGCCTCAGCTCTGAAGCCTCCCTTAAATGCTACTGTTCACACTCCCTGCACACTGCTTCCAAAGCAGCTACCAAGCCCCCCCTTCCCCTTCCCTCTGCTACAGGTTTCATGATCGCTCCTGGCCCACTGCGCCCTGCTCTCGTCAGCCTGCTCGCTTTACTCTGCTAATCCATTATTCAGACACAGCCAGAATGATCTTTCTCATACTGACCCTCAGATGCCCCGTTTCAACATTTCCGAGGCCTGCTCATCAGCGGGGTGAGGTCTGCTTAAGTTGGCACCCGACTTTTGACCACCCCAGCTCTACCCGCCATTTTAATAGCTTGGCAGGCACTCCCTCCATAATGTGCTTCCCTGAACCAGTCTTTCCCCAGCTATTTCCTATGTTTAGACTGCTCTGCTTCAACAACTGCTTATTGAACAAGAGTTCAATAAGCAAGAGTTGGGAGTGCAGGAAACCGAGGAGAAGCCAAGGGCGAAAGACAGGCAGTTCTCTGGTTGGTGGGAGAGAGAACACAAATGTAGACCTACGAGCGTTATAACCATGTACGGCGGGCGGGCGGGCATTCATCAGAGGTGTTTGAAAGCGTTGGGCTGCCAATATGGCTCGGGGGATGATGACATGATTCCACTGAAAGGTGCTGGCTGTCAAGCCACCTGAGTCTTAAGTTCCATCACCTGAGCCCCACATGGTAGAGAGAACTGACTCCCATAGTTGACCTCTGACCTCGACACTGTGCCACTGCAAGCAAATTTTTTAAAATTACAATATAATAAATTATAATAAAAAGGTCAACTATGAACCAGGAGATGGTGGCACATGCCTTTAATCCTAGCACTCTGGAGCAGAGGCAGGTGGATCTCTTGAGTTCCAGGACAGCCAGAGCTGCACAGAGAAACCCTGTCTCGAAAGAAAGAAAGAAAGAAAGAAAGAAAGAAAGAAAGAGAGAAAGAGAGAGAGAGAGAGAAAGAAAGAAAGAAAGAAAAGAAAGAAAGAAAGCCATCCCAGCACTCGGGAGGCAGAGGCAGGCGGATCTCTGTGAGTTCGAGGCCAGCCTGGTCTACAAGAGCTAGTTTCTAGTTCCAGTACAGGCTCCAAAGCCACTGAGAAACCCTGTCTCAAAAAACAAAACAAACAAACAAACAAACAAACAAAAAAAGCCCAACTATAGTGTTGAGTGAGTGTGGCGGTGGCGGTTGGCTTGCACCTGCCATCCTCCCTCTCTAAAGACTGAGGCAGGAGAATCAGCCTGGGCTAGTGAGAAAATGCACCTCCTCACCCAGTAAACAGCATTAATCTCGATCTTCAGGTGACTGTCTTTGCGATTTTGGGCAGACGACTCAGGAGTGTGCATCTCTGAGAGTCTGCAGTAAGACCAGCCCAGGGTTAGGGAGTATTTCTTGAGATACTACACTCTCACTGTTTGTTTCCTCTTGGCAGCCTCCCCCACCCCCGCCCTCCGCGTCTCCCCCTTCAGAGGCTGCCGTAGTCACCAGGGCGCGTACCTGCCGCCACAGTCCGACCGCTGAGACAGCGGCCAGGGGCCAACCCCAGACTTAGGCGGCCAGCAGGAGAGTGCTCCACCCCATCGCCCCACTTTGGGGGACAGCCCCTTAGGCTCACTCCCGCCCCCGCCAGTGAATCACGAGAGGCGGGGCCATGACCCATTCATGCTGGGAATCGGATCCAGATGTTCCCCGGCGCGTGCAGCTGCATCCTTGCCTTTTTTGGCAAAAAAACGTGCGGCCGCGAGCGGATTCTGAGCCGCCCCCACTAATCCTCGGGTAGAGGGGGAAGGGGCCTGAGGGTCTGGGCCCAACTGGGGATCAGAACTCCGTGCTTGTACGTAGGGTTGGGGCAGGGTGGTTGGGGGTGGGGGAAGGTGTGTACCAGACCAAGAAACCCACTGCCACCCGGCTCTGTTTGGCAGGCCTCCCAATCCCTCCCTCCCTCCCAGAGGAAAAAGCCTTCCGCCAGCAGTGGGGAGACTGGCCAAACTAGAGAGGGACTAGCGTGGCTGCCAAAGGGGATCCTCTTCCTGGGGTGAGAATCCCCACCCCATGGCCCGCCCACTAGGAGGTTTACAAAAGCCTGACTCAGCCAAGAATCTTCCTTCACCCTCCCGACAAATACACGGGGGCCTGTGCTCCCTCACACTGTTTTATTGCAGAATCTGGAAGTGGGGCCAGCCAGCCCCTCCTGCCTGTCTCTGGGCAACATGGAGCCGAAATAAAATGGTACTCATAGGCTGGACAGCACCCTGTACCTTATGACCCTCTAACCAGGGAGCTCCAAATCTGCTATCCAGAGGGTTTCAATCAGCCCAGAGATAGGGGTGGGATGGGGATGAGGTCAAACTGGGGTGCAATCTATCTTTGAGAACTTCTCAAGAAACCTATAAATCTATCAGATAAGTTTAGATTTAAGGAGGCCTAGGCCCCAGAGTCCAGGTTTGGGGGGACTGGTGTATTTAGAGTCTTGATCTGGGGAAGAAGCTAGATCTGGGAACCCAAAAAGAGTAGAGGGGGAGGACTCATTTCTGGAGTCCAGACTTGGAGAGAGAGTTTAAGTCATAGGTGTTCCACAAGAGCCCAGGTTTGGGAGCCTGGATTAGAGACTACCAGTTGGGTATGATGGAATTAGGAGACCGAATCCTGAAGTCCCTCCCACCCCTCCACCCCCACGGCACAGGGGCAGGTGGAGTCCCATTCTAAGGAGGGGCTGGGTCCCAGAAGTGGTTCAGAAAAGGAGCCATAGTCTTGAACCCTTGGTTTGGGTAAGGAGAGAGTCAGGTGCCTTGGCTCAAAGCCCTGCTTGGCTGCAACCCTGGCACAGAACTTGATCTCCGTCTGGTACGAAGCCTTGGCCCACCAGGGAGGTAGAGCAGCGGGCACAGGAGAAGCAGCTGTGGTGCCAATGTCGGTCTTCGAAGGACACATACTTGCCTCCACCGAGTCCTGGAGGAAAGGTGGGAGTTAGTTTGGCAGATCTGGTGGCATTGCTGCCCCTCAGCCCGTGTCACTGCCATGCCCTTACCTGCAGCCTCGCCACTGCTCCCACCTGTGATGGGGCGTTTGCAGCTGCTGCACTTGGGCGCAAAGAGTTCTCCAAAACAGGCCACACAGTAGGGATCATCATCCCGAGATGTGAACTGCTGTCCCGCCAGGGGTGTCTTGCACCCAGTACAGACCAGGCATTCTCGATGCCAGGGTTGATCTCGGTATGTCACTCCACCCTGGGTCAGCGTCTGTGGGGGCATCAGCCATCAGCAGGGGAATCAGTATTCCCACCCACAACGGGTCTTCCCCTGAATTCACAGGCCCAGCCCCCACCTTGCTGCAGCGGGCACACCGAGGAGCAAACTTGTTCTCATAGCAAGGCACGCAGTAGTGAGCGCCCTTGTCGGGCACGAAGGAGCGGGAGCCTAGAGGCTGCTCACACCCACTGCACAGAAAACAATGCTCATGCCACGTCTGGCCTCCGTACTCCAGCTTCCGGGACCCTGTGGGCAACAAGAATCCCATTTAGAGTCTTTGTCCCAAGTTCCTGAGGGTCACTCTGTCAACTCAACTCCCCAAGCTGCCCCCACTGCTTCTCTAACCTAGTAGGATTATATCCCTGCACACGAAGTAAGACTGACCATATATGTGTCACATGCCAACCTCTTGCCCCAAACTGGACATGATGGTTCAGCACATGCTAAGCACATATGTTAAACCTTCCATGCCTCACATAGCACTCTATCTAAACACACATCAAGTCTGTGTAAAATGCATGTTGTTCCTGTATATGCTAAATAAATCATTATATATCAGAAATACCAGGGTTTTTTGTTTGTTATTGTTTTTTTTTTTTTGAGACAGGTTTTCACTGTGTAATAGTCTTGGCTGTCCTGGAACTTGCTCTGTAGGTCAGACTGGCCTCAAACTCACGGAGATCCACCTGCCTCTGCCTCCCGAGTGCTGAGATTAAAGGCATGCGCTACTACTACTGTCCAGAAATACCAGTTTAACACTCAGGCAAGATCCCATTAACCAGGCAACTCTGCCCTAAGAATATAGGTTCACTATATGCTAAGCCTTTGTATGTTCTAGGTATATCATTCTCCACGCATGCTAAGTCCTCACATACCTACTAGGCATTCAGGACACCATACATTTAAGCCTACAATCCAATCTCTGCACATAAAGCTTCAATGCAGCAACCCTGAGAATCTCAGTATATCCTTAGTCCGCGCATGTATCAAACATGCAGGTCTTCACATAAGCTAAGGCCTGTATGTGTATCAAGTATGTGAGCTGCTATGCACATGGTAAGTCCTTAGGTGTTCACTGGGCCTATTAGTCTAATACACACAAAGCCTCCAGCTTGTCAGTTTGGGTACCTGGCAAGCTTTTGTGTGTAGAACTAGATGCTCCAATCCATGTGCATTAGGCTCTCATGAGCATACATGTACAATGGATCCATATGAGTTCCAGAAACAGGCAGTGTGTCTAGATCTCTACCTACACCAAACCCCATGCACCTATGAGTTGGGCAGACCCAAAGACCCTACCCAAATGGGAGTTCCCGAAGTCAGGATGAGGCCCTGGGACGTACCAGGCATGACGGTCTCCCCACAGGCGGAGCACTGTGAGGAGAAAGCTGTGCAGTAGCACTCATTACAGAGAAGCTCACTGTCCTGGCAGGTGAAGGGCTCATCAGCGAGGGAGCGCTGGCAGCGGCAGCACCGGAAGCAGCCCTCGTGGAAGTGGCGATCCTCATAGAACAGTTCCTTTGGGAGAAAAAGCACAGGGCACTACTAGCACCTGGGCTTGGTGGATTTATCCTTGGCCCCTCCCACCAGTCTGCACTTACTCTCACCCCTATCTGGTCGGGTCCTTACCCTTGAGTCGTGCCCGATGAGCTGCTGGCATTCGGCACAGGTGTTGGCGAAGGTGTTATCATAGCAGGGAACGCAGTAGGGCCCGCTGTCCGTCTGGATGTATTTGCGGCCGTACAAGGACTCGCTGCACTTTGCACAGTCAAATGCCTCGCTCATGGTGGTGAGGCTGAGTAAGCCCTGTTAGGAACGCAAGGTGGGGCAGAGTTCACCTAGAAGGGCTCTACCATAGCCCTGGAAAAGAGCTTTTTGCATTCAAAAAAGACAGGAGGCGTAGAAGATGCCATATCAAAGCAGGTGGGAATGGGGGAGAGGGCTCTGGGAACCCAAGAGTCTGGGGTTCAGGGCATGCTTGAATCTTGGGTGTTTATTTCTATATTTAACTGTGAGGATAGGAAGGGGTCAGGAAAAAATCAGGAAGCAGAAGTTGTTTTCTTATCTAGGCCCTGGCTGATCTGGGGGGAGGGGGCTCTTCCTGGGTCAGTGACTCATTTCCTGCCCCAGCCTGAGGTTTGCTTCCACTCTCCTTACTGTCCCTATGGTGCCAAAGGCCAGGACAGGGGGTCACCAACCTTAATGTATATAGACAGGACTCTCACCTCCTGACTCCTGGGATGGGACATTCATCTAGGGTTCTGATCTGGGGAGCTTTGCATGGAATAGGCTATTCTGTGCCCTCCCCCACCACCGGTGCAGGAAATAATGGAATGCTGGAGAGAAGCTTGACTGATGAATGGCGAAGGGGGGGTGTGAGAAGCTGGGCCTCTCCTCCCGTGATGGAGATTCAGCCAAGCCAGCACTTGAGAGGCTCAGCCTAGGTTCAGGCAGGAAGGAAACCCTGCAAGCTGGACACAGCCAGACTTCCCCAGCTGGAGCCTCGGCCTCTTTCCCTACCACCTCTGCTGTGTCTCTGGTCACACCAGCCAGGACAGTCTTGGCTGCAACATCTGCCGCAGCTGGTGGCAGCGCAGAGGGCCAGATGTCAGCTTTTTGCCAGCCAGAGGGAGAAAAAAGGGGAAAACCGACAGGCCTGGGGGAAGCAAAAGGGAAGTGGAGAGAAGGCAGCAGTGTCCCCTGCCACCTCCTACCAGGTGTCTCAGCCGATAGCTCTGCAAAGGCCCACGGTCATAATATGTTTTCCACCCCTCCCCCGCATCTGGACAGACAGCCCCTGCTGTTTGATTCCCCAGGGCTTAAGGCCAGAGAAGCGAAAGGTGAGAACGCAGGAGCCCCTGCAGCCGGTCAGGTCCCTTCTTGATGGGGAGTCAGAGAAGGGGAGCCCAGAGAGCTGCTGCTGCAGACACCCAGCCCCCCACCAAACCTCAGACACTTTCCATTTTCTCAGGAACAAAGCGTGTTTGCGGGATGAGGTCACCCACACAGCTGCCTCTGGAACAGGAGCAAGAAGAATTGGGGGGGGCAAGGAAATGGGGTTCGCAGTCTCTTCTGCTGGCCAATGCCAGTCTGGAGGGGGGAGCCCAAAGTCAGAGTCTCCCAGCTCCACCCTCCTCCACTATGAAGCCTGCTCTCAAAGGGCTGGGGAGTGAAGAAGATTCCTCACAGGAAGGGGATGGTGTCTGTCACTGTTGCAAAGGAGGCCGGAGGAAGTTAGAGGGGTGCCAAGGAACCTACCAACCCCCTTCTCCATAGCTGTACTGGCTTAAGATGAAGGAGAAGCCTTACTCAGGAAGTACGGCGGCGGGAAATTCTCACAGAGCACCTTGGTCTGCCTTAGAGTTTAGACTTCAGGCAGAAACAGATGTCTCAAACCTGGAGGGTTTGCCTCTTCGCAGCTTATGAGTGCGAACTTCCCTTCCACAAAGTGGGAGACACCGGGTTCACACCCAAAGCAGGACACAAGGTCATCAAAGCTGAAGTCTTCAGAGTGGAGAGTCCTCAGGGCAGCGGTTATAATGAAGGGTGGAGAGAGCCCCCTCCTTCTCACGCCCCTCCCTGTCATTCAGATCCTGGTTTCCTCTGGCCCAGCATCTGAGGATTGCCTGGGCTGCTGGCCACTGAACAACAGCCGGCCATACAGGTGGCCTGTGGCCATGTGTTCACTGGGGGAGTGCCCTAGGTCCTTTCCTTCCTTCCGGGTCTGGCCAGCAGCAGCAGCAGCAGCTGCAGCAGGAACAGCAGCCACAGCTACCTTCCCAGGCCCAGGCTAGCCTTGAATCCACCCCCTCAGAGCCAGTCAGAGCCAGTAAGCATGCTGAAATGAGGCACCCCAAATAGGGTATGGGCGTGCCTTCTGCTTCCTTCCGAGAATCCCCCAATCCCTAACCTATGTTTCTAATGAGGACAGAGTAAAGGACACCACCAAGGCCTACCTGTCTCTCCCTATCCTGGTTCCTCCTCCTCCCCAATCCCTCCCTATCCCCTCACAAAGCTGGAAGACTAAAAGTATGGCAGGGAGTCAGTCTTGTATTCCTTTCCGGCTGGTAGCAGGCGGGGTTCAGAGGAGACAGTGGATCTTCTAGATGACCCTCATCTGCTATCTCCACTAACGCACAGCTCTCTCTCTCTCTCTCTCTACACACACACACACACACACACACACACACCCCACACACCCCCCCCACACACCCACACACACACACCAGTGAGCTTCCTGGAGCTGAATGACAGGACTCCTTCCTGTATGGTTTTCAGTGTATAGCAGCTTGCTTGAGTCATGAAATATAAACCTGACTTGGGATCCTGTGACCTTGGGTACAATCTTTTCATGCCCTGAGATGGTTAGTCCGTCTAGTTAAATGAGATACCATTACCTCTCCTAGGACTGCTGTCAGGCTCAAATGTGATAATCCCTGTAAAGCATCTGGCAGATAGTAAGTCCCAGGTAAATGGTAGCCATGTGTATTTTTTACTACAAGCTCCTCACTTCTACCAGAGCCAGACAGTGGGTCTCAGGAAGACCTAAGGCAGGGGTAGGCCTGGGTTGTGACTTAGATAGTCTCAGTGAAGGCTGAGCCAAAGATCTAGCTGAGGGGACCACTGGGGTCAACGATAGCTGTAGCCCAGTCACCAGACACCAGGGAGAGAAACCCTAATGATCTTACAGATGGGCAGTTCACAGGGGTACACACTGGCATGACACCTTGTCATTTGCGAAATATATATGCCACTACCACTGCATCGCATCTCACAAAAGGCAAGCAGCACAGAGTCTATCTCCTCTTGAGAGTTCAGCATAAGACACCAAAGGCAGGCTAGGGGCATGGCCAGGGCTGCTCAGGAACTGGAGCAGAAGTGTCCTATACCCCACTGAGTGACTCTGCCTAAAAAAGCTTTGGTAGTAATGGAGGGAGCAGTCAGCCTTAAGGGTGATGGCGGGTGATGGGGGGGGACACGACATGGAGGGACAGGAGATACTAGAGCTGGCTCTCGTTCCCAGCTGCCAACCCTGCCACTGGAAGCCACCCAGAAGTCTTTCCAATTACCCATGCCAACTGCTCAACCCTTGTGTACACCCCCATCCCAGGTCCAGGAGGACCCTGGCCAGGCCCTGCAGCTGTGAGTCAGAATCAGATCAGACCCCTCCCCCTCGACAGGAGACTTATGGGGAGAAACTAATCCCCCCCCCCAACCAGGCACCAACCCCAAACTCTCTCCCGCCTGTCTTCCCCACCCCTGGAAGTCAAAGCAGTTTAGGGAAAAGGCGGGGGGGGGGGGGGGGGGGGGGGGGGGGGGGGGGGATCCCAAGCGCCGGTTCTGGGGACGGGAGAGGAACATTTCATTCACCCCCAAGTCCCCCAGGGCTGAAGCAGAGCGTCCAAGATTTGAGTTTAAAAATAAATTGGCGCTGTCTTAGCGGCTGTGTGTACGTGGGGCTCTTTCTTGAGTTGAGCTTTACAGCCTCAGGTCCTCTGCCTCCTGGGGGATGGGTTGGCTGGGAGACAATTTCCCTCCAGCTTTGCCCCCACCTTTTCAGGCCTGGGGCAACTGTCAGAGTGTGCACCTAGGAGTCTCTCTCTTCCGCGAACTCTAGCCCACTCTGCACTTCTCAGCACTCTCGGGTTGCTGCCTTTGTGTTTGGGTGAGGGTGTCCCTGTATCTCTGAAGCTGGATCCCACTGGGACCCCACACTCTGGGAAGATCTATCCCTCTGCAGCCAAGTCTTGGTCCCTCAGCGTCTCAAACTCTGAAGTCCCTTTAGGCCTCAGGGAGGCACTAGTCTAACAAGCTTCTACCTCAGGGCCCTCCAAGGCCCTGGGAAGGGCGCTAGCAATGATTTCCCCGGGGTCATACATTTGCTTCTTAAAAATGCTTCACAGCACCCGGGTTCCCGCGGTGCCTCGAGAACTTTGTCCGTCCATCTCTGCACTAGTTTGAATGACTCCTGGAACCTCCTGGGGCGCGCATCCTTGTCTGTTCTACCAGGCTTCCTAAGAGCCTCAGTTTCTCTAAGCCTGATGATCTCTCTAGCTTTCTAGTTCAAACTTGGTCCCCTCCCCCAGCAACTCTGGCGGTCCCCTCCCGGTCCGGAGGCACCGAGTTGTGAGGTCCATGCTGGCTCGCGTGGTCCCGACCTCGGGGTGCTTGGGGGTGTCCCAGCGAGGGACAGTGGCGGCCCCCCCCACCCCCGGCAGCGACCCCGGCCCGAATGCAGAGCGAGCACTAGGGCAAGAAGACTGGGCGGGGGACGCTCACCTCGAAGCGGGTGCAGGAGCCGGGCGCGCGCGGGCGTGGGTGGGGCCGAGAGCCGATCACCCCGCGGCTCCTACCTGCGGACCGGGCCGAGCGGGCAGAGACAGCCGCGGAGAGGTAGCCAGCAACGACAGACTGTGT